GCTGCTTCTCTCTGGGGTAAAGATTGGAAGGAATGTCAAAGGTAAGGGACAGCCCCCTGTGTGATCCAGTTAGTACTGTAACTAAGATAGAAAACTTGGGGTTAAAACTTCCCCCAGAGTTAAAGAAACAATGCTTAACAGAAATTCTTGGGCTTACAGGATAGCAGATAAGAAAAGAAACAATTATTGCAAAGCTGAAACTGACACTATGGCCCAAAGAGTAAGAAAGCAATGACTAACAGAAATTCTTGAGTTTGCAGGATGGCAGACAGAGAAACCACTTGTTGAAATGCTGAAAGTCACGCAGCTTGCAAGATTTCAAAACTGGCTGAAATTGGTTGGAACCAAAATGGCCAACTGGACTTTGCAAAGAACAAGCTTGCTGATGTCACAGCCCGTTTCCACTATGTGTTTCACACTGACTCCCCCTGAAATTGACACAAGCAACTCATGAGGTGGCAGGAAGACGTAACTGTGCATGCCGAGGAGTTTCCAGACCTCCCTTTTCCTTCCACCAATTATCTTCTAATCCTAGATTCCACCCCCTAATCCTTTCCTGGCCACCGGGAGATTAATTTGAGCTGGACTCGTCTCTCTGCTAGCTTTCTTGCAATAAAAAGCTTTGCTTTTTCATAGCATTGGCTTCTAGTGCATCAGGCATTACCCTTTTTTACTTGGTAACAGGGTTAAGATCTCCAAATCTTCATTTGGAGATATGATTTCTAGCAAGGCTCTTTTCTTACAAAATTCCACAGAATGCACCCATTTTGCATCTTACTGTGTTGAGTAGTGGTGATCCATATTAAATTTCCCTCTCCCCATTGCCTTTCCATTAGCCTAAATAACCAAGAGTCTGTATCCTTAGAGGGAGAATATTTTTATTCTTCCACAGTAAATCTGTGGGCACTGGTGTATATGTAGTATTAAAAAAATAAAAGCCCTAATGTATATACATGCTCTCTTTAACTCTCTGAGATGGTTGTATTTTTAGTAAGTTAACAAAAGGAGTGAATTATAGACTAACTTCACTTTAAACGATTTCCTCATTGTATTAGAATCCTCATTGAATTAAATCCTCAAAACTTTTAGCACTATTATTTTTATTGCTGTTACTATTACTAGTCATTTGGGGCTGTCAAGAAGGCAGTCTCAGAATCAGAAGTTCCGAAGTTTGTATATAAATACATCACCCGGAGAAATCAGAAAAGAGAAAATTGATAGATTTGACTACACAAAAATGGAAGCATCTATGTATTGTTCCCAAAATAGCATCAACAAAATTAAAAGGCAAACTGAGAAAAAAACTATGACAATGACTGGTAAAAGGAAATTACATATAATTTGTTAAGAAAATTAATATATATGGATATGCCTTCCCCTCAAGAAATATTAAGCAAAGGCCATGATATAGCAATTTGTAAAGAAAGAAATGCAAATTGATGATAAATATTTTAAAAATTTCAATAAAGAAATGCAAATTGTTAATAATAACAATGTTTTTGTCCATCAATTGCACTTTAATACCTTGCTGATAGAACAGCTTTTCTTAAAAACATTTTGGCACTATCTATCAAAAGTCTTTAGAATGTCTGCCAATTGATCTAAGGATTTCATTTTTAGAATTTTTCTAAGAAGAAAGTTAGTATGTGGAAAGACTTATTCATAAATATGTTTATTACTACATTGTTTATAATAGTAAAGAATCTAAACCAACCTTTACCCACCAATAGCAAATTATTTAAATAAACCGTAATTCATCCATTCAAAAGAACACTAATCGGCCATTAAAAATGGTTATGTAGGTCAGGGAGCCTATATAACTATGGCCCATTGGCCAGCTGCCCATTTTTATAAATAAAGTTTTATTGGGACACAGTCTTGTCCATCCGTTTATGTACTGCGTATGGCTGCTATATTTGCTGCTAGTTTGCTAGGGTTGCTGTAACAACAAACCAAATGTTCTTTCTTGCAGCCAAAGAACTTTTTGTGAGACAGAGTTTCACTCTATTGCCCAGGCTGGAGTGCAGGGGCATGATCTCAGCTCACTGCAACCTCCACCTCCCAGATTCAAGTGATTCTCCTGACTCAGCCTCCTGAGTAGCTGGGATTACAGGCACCTGCCACCACACCCAGCTAATTTGTGTGTTTTTAGTAGAGACTGTTTTCACCATGTTGGCCAGGCTGGTCTCTAACTCCTGACCTCAGGTGATCCACCTACCTTCAACAACAGAAATGGATTGTCTCACAGTTCTGGAGGCTAGAAATCCAGCTAAGGTGTTCTGAGGGCTATGACGGAAGGATCTGCTCCAGGCCTCTCTCCCTGGCTTGTAGATGGCCATCTTCTCCCCATGCCCCTTCACATTGTCTTCTCACTGTGCGTGTCTTTGTCCACATTTCCCTCTCTTTATAAGGATATCAGTCATAAGGAATAAGGAACCCTACCTTACCCTTGCATAACTTCATCTTAACTAGTTCTATGTGTAATCACCCAATTTCCAAAACAAGAATCACATTCTGAGGTACTGGGGGTTAAGACTCCAGTATATGAATTTTGCAAGGACACATTGAAACCATAATAGCTGCTTATGTGTGACTGTCTCATGCGTTCATACTTAACAGCAGAGTTGAATAGTTCTGGCAGAAGTGTGGTCTGCGAAGTCTGAAATAGTTTTCTGCCCCTTATGGAAAAAAAGTTGCAGATTCTTGCTATAGGTGCATACTCAAAACCTAAGAACATTTATTTATTTACTTATTTACAGACAGGATCTTGCTATGTCTCCCTGACTGGACTTCAACTCCTTGGCTCAAGCAATCCTCTTGCCTCAGCCTCCAGCATAGCTAGGACTATAGGCATATGCTACCCTGTTGTACAAAAACATTTATTTTTATGGTAGTATAATATTTTACTTATTCTGGTCATAATTACTATTTGAGAACATTTACAATATTAATGAGACAATCTTGGATAAGTTCAAATTAATTTTTTTTTCTTTGAGACAGAGTCTTGCTCTGTCACTCAGGCTGGAATGCAGTGGTACAATCTCAGCTCACTGCGACCTCCACCTCCCAGTTCAAGTGATTCTCCTGCCTCAGCTTTGTGAGTAGCTGAAACTACAGGTGTCCACCACCATGCCCAACTAATTTTTGTATGTTTAGTAGAGATGGGGCTTTGCCATCTTGGCCAGCCTGGTCTTGAACTTCTGATCTCAAATGATCCACCCACCTCAGCCTCCCAAAGTGCTACCAAAGAGCCATTGCATCTGGCCTAAATTTATTCTCTTTACAACTCAATAGCATCTAACTAAGAGAGATAGTTAAGGCTGGTCCCCGTGACTCATACCCGTAATTCCAGCACTTTGGGAGGCTGAGGCAGGAAGATCACCTGAGGTCAGGAGTTCAAGACCAGCCTGGTCAACATGGTGAAACCTCATCTCTACTAAAAGTACAAAAATTAGCCGGGTATGGTGGTAGGCGCCTGAAGCCTAGATGCCTGGGAAGCTGAGACAGGAGAATTGCTTGAACTTGGGAGGCAGAAGTTGCAGTGAGCCTGAGCCAAGATAGGGCTGCTGTACTCCAGCCTGGGTGACAAGAGTGAGACTCAACTCAAAAACAAAAAAAGATAGTCAAAATAATTATGATCAAACTTATGATGTCAAAAACATAAGTAAGTGCTTGGTGTTACTGTGTCTACAGAAAATTCAATTTTTGCTATAAAGTTCTTTGGAAGCCAGATGCGGTGGCTCATGTCTATAATCCCTGCACTTTGGGAGGCCAAGGCAGGTGGATCACCTGAGGTCAGGAGTTAGAGACCAGCCTGGCCAACATGGTGAAAACAGTCTCTACTAAAAACACACAAATTAGCTGGGTGTGGTGACAGGTGCCTGTAATCCCAGCTACTCAGGAGGCTGAGTCAGGAGAATCTGGGAGGTGGAGGTTGCAGTGAGCTGAGATCATGCCCCTGCACTCCAGCCTGGGCAATAGAGTGAAACTCTGTCTCAAAAAAAAGTTCTTTGGCTGCAAGAAAGAATATTTGGCTTACATTGATGATAAGAATATCTCTTAATGCTGGGGTGGCCTCTTTCTGACATTTCTTCCATTGTTGATTTTTAGTGTAGTCATCTATGATTGCATGAATGGAGCTGAGTGGAGAGGGACTCATCATGTTAATTCCAAACACGAGTGCATGGCCAATGACTAAAGTAAGTAGTAAGGAGGGAGACACGTAACACAACTGCCCAAAGTTTTTGAAGCCAATGGGTTAAGCCTATGGAGTTTTGCCAAAATTCAGGAATAAAATCTCATAATAAAATTAGCACTGAGTTCTCTGCACAAGCATAGACCAAGGAACTCAAGGTTCAAGGAAGGAAAAATTGAGGGAAGGGCCAAGGCCCAGAGGTGCCTCCCCATTCCCTCCCCTACCCACGCACAGGCACCCAGTGACCTTCGCTGGAGAAAACCTGGAAATACATTCTTAAGTGAAAAAGATTCCAAAATAGTATCTTTCTTGGAAAATTATCTCATCTGAAAATATCAGCCAGGCGCAGTGGCTCACATGTAATCTAAGCACTTTGGGAGGCTAAGGCAGGAGGACTGCTTGAACACAGAGTTTGAGACCAGCCTGGGCAACATAGTGAGGCTCTGTATCTATAAAAAATAATAAAATAATAATAATTTTTTTAAAAGACTGGGTGCAATGGCTCACGCCTGTAATCCCAGCACTTTGGAAGGCTGAGGCTGTCAGATCACTTGAGATCAAAAGTTGGAGACCAGCCTGGCCAACATGGTAAACCCCATCTCTACTAAAATACAAAAATAATCTAGACATGATGGCACATGCCTGCAGTCCCAGCTACTTGGGAGGCAGAAATGAGAGAATTGCTTGAACCCAGGAGGCAGGGGTTGCAATTGTGCCATTGCACTCTAGCCTGGGGAGACACAGCAAGACCCCATCTCAAAACAAATAAACAAACAAAAAACCAAAACAATTACGTGGTCCTTACCTGTAGTTCCAGGCACTGGAGAGGCTGAGGCAGAAAGATCACTGAAGCCCAGGAGTTTGCGGCTGCAGTGACTAGTGATGGCACCACTGCCCTCCAGCCTGGGTGACACAGTGAAGCCCTATCTCTTAAAAAAAAAAAAAAAAAAAAAAAAGAAAGAAAATAACTACATGTGAATTGACAAAAAACAAAGAATGTACATCACAATATTATAACAATGATTCCTGAGGTATGAAGCACTATGAGTAATTTTCATTTTCTTTTTACCTGTTTTCTAATTTTTATATTGTGAACACATATTATTTTTGCAACTATAAAACAAAAATGTATGCCAGCATAAGGTATAAAAAAATTCATACCTATTTATAGGCCGGGTGCAGTGGCTAATGCCTGTAATCCCAGCACTTTGGGAGGCTGATGCAGGCAGATCATCTGAAGTCTAGAGTTCGAGACCAGCCTGGCCAATGTGGTGAAACCCTGCCTCTACTAAAAATACAGTAATCGGCCAAGTGTGGTGGCAGGCGCCTGTTCCTGGCTACTGGGGAGGCTGAGGCAGGTGAATCACTTGAACCCAGGAGGCGGAGTTTGCCGTGAGTCGAGATCACACCATTGCACTCCAGCCTGGGCGACAAGAGAGAAATTCCATCTCAAAAAAAATTGCGCATAATACTGTCCTTGTAAGGGTGTGATAGAAATGGCTTTACAGGCAGTGCTTATTCCAACTTCCTTCTGGTGTGCCTCCCTGTGCTGCAGAGGCTGGGAACAAAAAGTCATGTTTCCTTGACTCCCTTGCAGCTGAGTTGCTGAGTATGAATTAGCATCCACCAGTAGATGAAACTTCCTGAGAAGGAGGCCACAGTATCAGCTCTGCCCCTGTCTGCAGGAGCTCAGTGGGGGCTGCAACAGAAAACCAGAATTCATCTCCAGCTCTGAGCTCAGAGGGAGTTGGAGCTGAGGCAGATTCACTCCTGGATGGTGGCTATAGCAGAAGGTTCTGGAAGCCAACAGTTTGGGTCGTGGCCTTCTAATTTTCTACCTTCCTGATATCCTGGAGGTTGTAGTGATCCTGGCAAGCCTGTTTGGTATCATTGCTCAGTGTTCTGGGAATCATTCGTGGATACCTAGCCTCAATAGGCAGCCTTGCCAGCAGTTTTATAATTGCCCAAATCATCCTAGGCCTAAAATAGCTGGTTGTTTCTGTTTCCTGAGACACAACCTGACTGACATAAGGGCTCATGAGCTATTTGGGGATGAGCTTGTGCTGAAGGAAAACATACATTCTATGACAAGTCAAATGGAAGCATTAATATATCAAGTTGCTTGGAATCCATCTGAATTGCAGAAAGAAGAGTAAAAATATCAGGAACAAGTGCCAAAACTAAAATACAACGAAGAGCTTCAAGTATAAATGTAACAGAGTCACAGATTTCCTCCCTTTTACTAAGAATTGCAGGTACAATATCACTTACATATTTCTCTAGACTGGCTCACTCTTCCCATGAGCCTTATCTCAATGGGTTTTGGGGTAGGGTGGTGAGGAGCAGGGATACTCAATTAAGTTTGCCTGTTTGTCAAATTCTGGCTCAAAGAACCCTTTTCCTTGGTGTAGCGGCACAATCTTTCAGAGTTCTCAGTTTCTCCATAGTGTCTGGATGCCCAGGGCTATGTGGATAAGTGTACCGGGTGCTCTGGTCCCATGCTGGTTTCCCATGTGAATTGGCTGGTCTGGCCTGGTCCCCAGCCTCAGATCTCTCGAAGGACTCACTGATTTCATTTAGGACAGGGGCATTGTGATGTTACTCACTGCTGGAGTCTGTGATTCCAGTCCTTGCATCTGATCACAGATCTTCCTACTCTGGCTTCTTCCTCTAGGCCTCTATCATTCACCAGTCTCAGAGCACTCCCAGCCCCACTCTGGGGTGTACACAGTTGCTAGATCTTTGGCCTGCCTCTTGCAGGCTGTAGGGCCTGCCCCAGGTCCCCACATTCATTCCTACCCTCTGTCAGGGGCCGTGCTGCATGAGGACAGTGCTGTGTTGAATGTGGGCTTCTCCTGGCCTTCCAGGTGAAGCAGGAGGCAGATGTCCCTCTGCTTTCAGCTGCACAGCTTTTTTAATCTTTTTTTTTTTTTTTGAGACAGAGTCTTGTTCCATCACCCCGGTTGGTACAGTAGCACCATGTCGGGTCACTGCAACCTCCACCTCCCAGTTTCAAGCAATTCTCCTGCCTCAGCCTCCCAAGTAGCTGGGATTACAGACATGCACCACCATGTCCAGCTAACTTTTATACTTTTAGAGATGGGGTTTCATCATGTTGTCCAGGCTGGTCTTGAACTCCTGACCTCAGGTGATCTCCTGCCTCGGCCTCCCAAAGTGCTGGGATGACAGGCATGAACCACCGCGCCCAGCTGCACATCTGACCAGCATCCATGCCAACGATCAACCTGAAGGAGGGAGGCAGGGACACAGGCAACTGTCCCCTTGCCTCCATATCTACTCGGATGGCAGGGGTGATGCTTTCACTTCTGCCCCTCAGCAGTGGAATTCCTCCGTGTCCTTATCTACTCCCTTCCAAACAGCAGGGACCCTGTATAAGATAGGATCCAAGGAGATAAATTAACTTGCCAATGAGCAACGGCCAAAGATGCTGCCCCCATTGTGCTAATAAAATCTGCTCATGATGATTTCCACAAACGATGCCCATCCTTGCTGCTTCGGCTCCTTTCTCCTAACACTTACTAAGAAGGAAGACATTGGGCAGTTAAGTGTCTTAATTTTATTTCCATCCTCTGCTTTAAAATAGGGCACCATGAAAAAGAGACCTGTTAGCTGTGGAAGCTGTTTGCATTGGAGAGTGAAGACAACCTCCCGTCCTTCAAAAGATTACATGAGAAAGGCCCAAAGTCTCCCAGTGAGAGACGGGAGAGCTTTCCTTGCCAGTATCTGAGGAAACAGAGTGGAAGCATGAGCTCTTCCCTGCAATAAGATTCATGTTATTAAGATCTATGGATTTTCTGGGCCAGGCATGGTGGCTCACCTGTAATCCCAGCAATTTAAGAGGCTGAGGTGGGTGGGTCATTTGAAGTCAGGAGTTAGAGAGCAGCCTTGCCAACATGTTGAAAACTTGTCTCTACTAAAAAAAACACAAAAATTAGCTTGGCATGGCGGTGCACGCCTGTAATCCCAGCTACTTGAGAGGCTGAGGCAAGAGAATTGTTTGAACCCAGGAGACAGAGGTTGCAGTGAGCCAAGATTGTGCCACTGCACTCCAGCCTGGGCGATAGGGAAAGACTGTCTCAAAGAAAAAAAAGGAACTATGGATTTGCTAAGGCCAGTAGTCTCTCTCCCCCTTAGTAAAACACGTTTTGATATAAAAATCCAGATAATTGAACCATTGCTATTAGATGTTTCGAGGTTCCTATTGACAAGATTTCAACACTTTTTAGTTTTTAGAGATGGGGCCTTGCTCTGTTGCCCCAGCTGGAGTGTAATATAGAGATCACAGCTCACTGCAACCTTGAACTCCCTGGCTCAAGGAAGTCTCCCACCTCAGCTTCCTGAGAAGCTGGGACAGGTGTGCACTACCATGCCTGGCTAGTTTTTGTATTTTTTGTAGAGATGGGGTTTTGCCATGTTGCCCAGGCTGGTCTCAAACTCCTAGGCTCAAGAAATCTCTCACCTTGGCCTCTCAAAGTACTGGGATTACAGGTGTCAGCCACCATGTCTGACCACTTTCAACACGTATATTGTTGGGGTGAAACTTAAACATATGAGGATTTGTTCAAAGTAAATGTAGAGAAGGCAAAATTCCACACTGATGCATCCCACCTAGGACTGGATGTGCTGTGCAAAGTGAAGGTGGAAAACGAGCCAGAGGTCCTGAACTGATCAAATAAATATCCCTGGAGAACAGGCATTTGGCATCCCAATCCACAGGATGGGGTAGATGTGGCTTATAGAACCAGGATTATTCACAAAGAGGTTGTTCTTCTGCATTTAAAGGCTGAAAGAGCTGTGTACTTGAATGTGTCAGACCAGGGAGGGCACAGGCTGGGCTGGTGGGCCTGGGAGGTAGTGGGGGTGGGGAAGGAGGCCGTCTGGCAGGAGCTGAACATTTGACCCCGTGGGGCACTTTGCAGAGGAGGCTAAATGGTTATACTTAGAAGCTACTTAGAAGGAGATACTTAGAAGCTAGTCACAATGGGTGAGTCATAAAGAGAAAGCTGGAGCTGGGGATCCTGGAGGGAGATGATCAGAAGGTTGGTTCACAGGACTCAGGTTGAATGGGACTTGTTTGAGAACCCAGGCTGGATGGGACTTGTGGCAAGCAGTCCAGCACAGCCTCATAGTGCAGGGCATGGGCTTTGGATCCTGCCCCCACCCTAGCTTTGTGACCTTGAGTGAGCTACATAACTTCTCATGTGTAAGGTGCTCATCATAATGTTTCTGACCTCAGTGGTTTGTTGTGTTACAGGAAATGATGTCAGTGAATCCAAAGCCCCAGCTTCAGCACAGGGCAGCCACCTTGAAGCTCTTAAATATCACTGTTGTTAATACAGAGAGGAAAACCAACTGTAACGTGCTGCCCAAATATAAGTTTTACTCATATTTTGATGTTAGGATGGATAGCTTGGAAAAAGATGAAGGAAACGGCCTTTATTATGAGGCATCTACGAAGGATCAGGAATGGATATAGACAAGGAACTAGTAATGGAAAGTGTTAAACCTGGAGCCCCTGGAAAACCAGAAATGAGGCTGGGCACTAAGGAAGAAACAAATGAAGGTGACGCTAATGGTAAGTGGGTACAGAAAGAGGCTTGCCTTAAAGACCTCTGCAGTTAGGGAGTGGGCAGGGTGTTGAACCAAGAAGGGAAAATTGTGGTTTAAGAATATGTATACAGAAGATACATGTAATCACGCGCTGTTTGACCTTCTGTTGAATGAGTTATTCAGATTAATACATCATTCATCAGACTTCACTCATGATCTCTAAGAGTGACCTCAGTTTCCTTGGGGTATGATAAGAATTTGTTTGGTTCTTCTTTTGCATTTCTATTTTATTTATTTACCTTTTTTTGGGTACAGAAAGTTCATTAGAAGTCTTGTCCAGCAATGTGCCTCTCCTGACCCTGGACTTCTTGGACACAACCCAGGCCAAAGAGAAGGTCTTTCTCCCCATGGTCAGCCACACGTTCCACATGCCCACAGAGGAGTCCGACGCCCCACAGCAAGGTGACGACCTATCCGAGTCCTCAGCAAACACCAGCCAGCCCAAGCAGAACGACCTCCCCAAGTCCTCAGCAAAACCCATTCAGCCCAAGCTGGGCACTATTCCCAAGTCCTCAGCAAAACCCATCCAGCCCAAGCTGGGCACTATTCCCAAGTCCTCAGCAAAACCCATCCAGCCTAAGCTGGACAGTATTCCCAAGTCCTCAGCAAAACCCATCCAGCCCAAGCAGGGTGACACCTCCAAGTCCTCAGTAAAGACCATCCAGCCCAAGCTAGGCAATATTCCCAAGTCCTCAGTGAAGCCCAGCCAGCCCAAGTCCCCAGAAGAAACCATCCAGGCCAAGGAAGGTGACATCCCCAAATCCCAAGAAGAAACCATCCAGGCCAAGGAAAGTGACATCACCAAGTCCCCAGAAGAAACCATCCAGGCCAAGGAAAGTGACATCACCAAGTCCCCCAAAGAAGCCATCCAGCCCAAAGAGGGTGACATCCCCAAGTTACCAGAAGAAGCCATCCAGCCTAAGGAGGGTGACATCCCTGAGTCCCCAGAAGAAGCCATCCAGCCCAAGGAGGGTGACATCCTAATAAAGCCTGAAGAAGAAACAACTGAGTCCCTGGAGGGGGACATGGTGAAAATGATCCTGAGCAAGGAGGACTTTGAGGCAGCACTGAAGGAGGCTGGGCAGAAGCTGGTAGCTGTGGACTTCTCAGCCACATGGTGTGGGCCCTGCAGGACCATCAGACCATTCTTCCATGCCCTGTCTGAGAAGCATGAGGATGTGGTGTTCCTGGAGGTGGACGCTGACGGCTGTGAGGAGGTAGTGAGAGACTGTGCTGTCATGTGTGTCCCAACCTTTCAGTTTTATAAAAAAGAAGAAAAGGTGGACGAGTTTTGTGGCGCCCTTAAGGAAAAACTCGAAGCAGTCATTGCAGAATTAAAGTAAACATGTATTCTGCATTGTAGGCAGTCAGATGTTTACAGCTTTTGAGTTCTTTTTTATTATTTGCAAAGAAGACCAGGTATAACAAAAATGTATGTCCAAATGGCACTGCTTGTACATGGTAATATTAATTCTACCCTTTTCGAAAAACAGTCCAAGCATTAAAGTACATTGTGACTATGTTTCTGTTGGTTGGAGAGTGTAAAATTAGAAATTCCTCTGATGAAGATTGGTAAGTCCCACTGTCTCCTATTTTTCAATCTTGGTAGGTATTTATAATTCACTTGCCCTTGAAAAGTCCACTATTTAGTATTTGCAGCAAGACTGAAAATTTAGATAATTTTTCTGTAGAGGTGCATGACTGAAAAATGAATAGAAACTTCTTTTCTCATGCTCACATATCTTTGGGGATTCTGATAAGATACTTTTGGACGTAAGGAATTTGAAAGATTCACATCTTAACTAACCTCCTTTTTGAGCCAGGAGCGCTTAGAGGCCTTGGGAAATTCAGTGGGTTGTCCAAGGCCTGATGTGTTGGTGACAGAACTGAGATCAATGCTGCTTCCAGATTTCAAGCCCAGGGCTCTGTCTACTATAATCTATGCTCACAAAATCTGAGACAAGAGCTCAGAACTTAGGTTTCTCAGAAGTTGAAGTCCTCTGGATCTTTGCTGCCTTTATGACATCATGCCTTGATGGCAGAGTTCCTGGTTTGTCTTCCTGGTAACTGGGTTCCTAATACCTAGACCTTCCTCTGACTTTTTAACTTATATTGGTTCTTGTTTTCAATATTGAACAAACCCACCTTTAACATGACTCTACCAGCTTAGACATATAGGCATAGACTTTAATGAATTAACCTAATCATGGCGCTACCAGAGTCTTGTTTGGAGAACTTAGTGAGCCCCAGGTATCTGTAAATCCAAAGGCTCAGGTCTGAACCATACATGGAGGCTTGGTCCAGAGTGGGTTTTTTTAAATGAATAATATCAGCTTCACTAGATATACCTGATATACAAAGAACTGCACATGGTTAATGGAGGGAGTTGGATGAGTTTGGATGTGTGGCATATGCCATTGATTACCATCTCCACCATCAAAGTAATTAATTAACACCTTGATTGCCTCCAGAAGTTTTTTTGTATCACCGTGCTTTATTGTTAATTACTATCATGGTAAGAGCACTTAACAGATCCACTCTCCTAACACATTTTTAAGTGTCCAGTACTGTTACTTAAACTAGGGTCATGATGCCGCACAGCAGATCCATGGAACTTACTCATCGGTGAAGCTGAAACTTAACACCATTGAACAATTCCCTGTGTCCCATTCCCCCACTCTCTGGCAGTCACCATTTTACTGTTTGCTGGTCCAGAGTTGTTTTTTTTTTAATTTGAATTCATTGCCAACATTTAAAACATCGGATTTCTTTTTTAATCTAGATGTCTAGCTTTTCTTGAAACATTGTAAGATCTGGCAATCCAGGCTTGCTTTATCTCAAGAAAACCAATCTAACCTTGGGGTCTGAGTGCTGCCTCCATGTGATAGGGCACGCTCTCTCCAGTCTTCTGCTCCAGAACCTGGCTGGCTTCTTCACATAGCCAGCTGAGTTGCGATCCCTATCTTAAGTTCAAGACTGGGACTGGGAAGGTGGATCACCTGAGGTCAGGGGTTTGAGACCAGCTTGGCCAACATGGTGAAACCCTGTCTCTACTAAAAACACAAAAATTAGCCTGGCATGATGGCACGTACCTGTAATCCCAGCTACTCGGGAGGCTGAGGCAGGAGAATCGCTTGAACCCAGGAGGCAGAGGTTGCAGTGAGCTAAGATACTCCCACTGCATTCCAGCCTGGGCAACAGAGAGAGACTCTGTCTCAAAACAACAACAAACAAATTCACTGAGAAATGAAAACAAGAAAATAAAAAGCAGGTCAAAAGACTAAAAACAGAATTATCTCTATTTTATTGAAATTGGACGAAAGGTGCTATGTGTTGTCACCGACTAACTCTCTGTGAGAATATTCTTTTCTTTCATTCTCATTTTGTTTTATCCTGATTACTTTATATACAAAAAGAAAAAAGAATCAATGGAATACTTCGAAGACTCCAACTGTTTAGACATTGCCGGGGAATACAAACAACTGCTAGAAAATACAAAATCTGGGAAGCCTGAGCAAAGGGGAGTAGGTGAATGGCCCAAGCTCAAGGGTGTTCTGGAAAAGCCTCCTAATGCTGGCTTTATCCAGAGTTTCTGTATTCCAGTTGTGCATTTTGGGCCTTCTAGGCTTCAGATCAGCCCAAATCAGAAGTTCCATTTGGAGATGAACTATGTATGTGATCATGGGTGTTATGGGGTAGGTGATATATTCATTTTTTCATTACAACTGACAAAAGGCCAACTCAAACCTGCTCCAGCAAAATTGAGAGGGTACTGAATCTTGAAAATGGAAATTCTGAGGAGATCAACTACTTTAGGCAGATTCAGGGATTCAAACAACATCAGAACACAGTTTTCTACCTCTTAGCTCTACTGTTCATCTTGATTTTATCATCAGTTGCTTCTTTGGCTCATAATCACCGATAAAAAGGTGAGCCTGTCTCCTGATAATCCCATCAAAAGTCACAGGAAAGACTCTGATTGGCTGTATCATGCACCAATCCCTGAACCACTCTGTGTATTTGGAAGAGTTGAAGGACTCCCGATTGGTCAGGCTTGGTCACTTGTGCACACTCAGAGCAGGGTCAGTCCCATCAAGCCTCAGGAGCTGAGTGGATTACCATGGCAATGGGAGGAAGGAAGATCTGTCTGTAATCAGACATACAGATTGCAAGGGATGGCATTTCAGCACTCAACATTAGACCAAGATACCACATTAAGAATATGGAGAATATGGTCAGAATCACATTATCTCACATATAAATCCCCATGAAATAGTTCCTTTTAAACACATCTTCTCATTTCACTTTCATCCAATCTGGTTTCCTTGAATCTGCAACTATCCAGCCTTAAAACTAAACAGTTATCTGTGCCTTATTCAAATGACAAATGATCTTATAATAGTAAGTAACTTTTGCTAATGTTGGCATATAGGATATCAATCAAAAGAGAATATGAACCCTGATGAGTGAATGCTTAGAAAGATTCAAAGGGTGGCTGGGCACAGTGGTGGCTTACGCCTGTAACCCCAGCACTTTGGGATGCCAAGGTGGGTGGATCACCAAGTCAGGAGTTTGAGACCAGCCTGGAAAATAGACGAGCCTGGCCAACTTGCTGAAACCCTTTAGTCTCTACTAAAAATATAAAAATAAGCTGGGTTTGGTGGTGAGTGCCTATAATCCTAGCTACTCGGGAGGCTGAGGCACAAGAATTTCTTGAACCTGGGAGGTGGAGGTTGCAGTGAGCTGAGATCATGCCATTGCACTCCAGCCTGGGTAACAGAGCAAGACTCTGCCTCAAGAAAGAAAAGAGAGAAAGAGAGAGAGAAAGAGAGGAAGAAAGAAAGAAAGAAAGAAAAAGAAAGAAAGAAAGAAAGAAAAAGAAAAAGAAAGGAAGGAAGGAAGGAAAGAAAGGAAAAGGATATAAACAGGGTGTGATAAGTTCTGGGGTCTGTTCTTCTAAGTGATGCTTTTGAAACATGTTTTTCTCTAAATATGAACAATCTGGTTCTTCATAAACTATGTCTTTAGTGTTCAACACTTCTGTCTTTTTGAGACTCAAATGGTATTTCAAATAAATTACATTCAGCAGATACTAGAAAGTTACGGTATGTTGTTACTTAGAATTCTATAGTGATTTTTGGCAGATTTTTAAGTTTCCCAGAACTTGTAAGAGAACTGTGAAATGCTATACTCTATGGAGATAAAAGTTAACTAAAAAACAAAGCAAACCAAGAGATAAAAGGAAAAGTTAGGCTGCAAGTTTTGAAATAATAATGGCGCTTGAACCACGAGATCCTTTAATACCCACATGAAAATAGATACCCAGTGCAATAATGACAAATATTTGGATGTAGATATCACGGAGTCAGACAAAACTCAAGGCTGTAGCCTAAAGTTTTAAGGAAATCAAAAATTTCAAATTCCAGAATGGAAAAAAGATAATTTATAGGAAAATGAAGAAGTTGATGATAGAAAATGGTAAACAGGAAAAAGTTAGGGCCAGTAATGACAGGTAGTAGTTGAAATGAAGAAAAGTGGATTGTGAAAACAATGGGAAAAAAATGTGATCGTCCTATTACATATTGATTCGAAGTGTATATTACTTTTACACAAGTTGAGGGTCATCTTTTTTTAGGTTAAGATGGTAATTTCAAGTAAGAGGCAGATATGGCATGGAGAAGGACAAGGAAGAGTAAGGTTGTCCTTGTATGTTACGTTTCTGCTGACCTTAATGCTGTTTTCATGAATTCCTGGTTTAGAAAACTAAAAGTTCTCTGATCCCTGGAGAGGCACCTTTCTGATAGGTATTGAGAAAGGGTGAAAACAAAACAAAACCAAATGCTGCTTCTCGGCTGGGCGCGGTGGCTCACGCCTGTAATCCCAGCACTTTGGGAGGCCGAGGCAGGTGGATCACAAGGTCAAGAGATCGAGAGCATCCTGGTCAACATGGTGAAACCCCGTCTCTACTAAAAATACAAAAAAACATTAGCTGGGCATGGTGGCGCGTGCCTGTAATCCCAGCTACTCAGGAGGCTGAGGCAGGAGAATTGCCTGAACCCAGGAGGCAGAGGTTGCCGTGAGCCGAGATTGCGCCATTGCACTCCAGCCTGGGTAAACAAGAGTGAAACTCAGTCTCAAAAAAAAAAAAAAACTGCTTCTCTCTCCCTGCCCTATGAAAGCCTCAAAACCTTGGTGTTTAAAAGACAAAGCTAAATGCAACTCTAATGACTCATAGATCAATATCTTTCACTGACCTTAGGAAGTCACCAGTTAGCTAATGATTCTTGGTTTAGAAAGGGCAGAGGAGGCTACCCGCCTCTCAGAGAAGGCTTTAAGAAAGACTACCTTTAAGTCA